GAAGTATCCAGGAATGGAATGAATTTTTGACATGGGTCTGAAGGCACAAAGATGAACGTATACAAATTTTTGTATTCTTGGAATAGTTTAATGATTTGGGAGGTGAAGTATAATAGAGTGATTTCGTACAAACACTGCAAACATCAACCATTTCCGATGTGACTTTCTTTGCAGTATTACGGTAGCTCGATTGCACTACTAGTAGTTCGCATTTACCGTAACTCATTAGTAGTGATTTAGTTGTGTACTCACCACATCTTAACGGCTAATGTACAGCGGATACTCAGATACTCTCGCACGTTGATCTCACCGTCTACTTTGAAGTTTCTCAGGAATTCTAATCACTTTTTGCCACTAATTAAATCTTCTGAAACCAGGATAGGTAAATCACTCGGTCCGGCTAAGTTTGTTTTCAAATGACTAACATTTTAGTAGAAAAATTCTGTAGATATAATTCACTTCAAAATACTTACTATTGTGCAACAACCCTATAACTTGCTCTGAAAAAACATAACGGCTTTTCTAGGGTAAGAAGTCGATTTTAGGATTAATAGTTCTTTATTCCTATACAGTTTGTTAGTTATATGTATAAGAACGACTCAGGGAAATGTTCCAGAGTATACTTATAAGGGTAGGATACTTGATCGAAATGTCGATTCAAAAAGACACCGGTGATGCAGTTTGAGCTAGTTTGGAATCTGCCATCCGTACCTGCATTTCCGCGGAAAAGTTATAAAGGGTTTCTTCTATCAAAACAACCATTACGACTGATTAGTGATTGACCTTAACTAACAAATTTGCCCTAAAACATATAGTAAGTAGTTATCATTTGATAAACATGTCAGTACAACGATATGCACCTCTTGCCCTGCTATTTTGGGTTTCCCAGAGGTAGAAGATTCGCAAAAAAAAACCTTCAACACTTTTCCCATAAATCTGCATAGTACATACTAAAGATAGAATTAAAATCATCTTTTTTGAATTGCCACTTCGACTTATATCTCTCCCTTGTTAACTAAACGCTATTTGTTGGGTGTCTATTCATTTGTTAAAAATTCATCTATACTATCTATCTCATCAAAATAAACGTCTTCCTGTTGTTGACAACCACCTCTCCAACTAAACGACTTTTCATGCCATGAAAATGGGTGAAATATATTTCTCTGAAGTTTGTGCTTTAATAAAAGTCCAGGTTGGATAACTGGAAAAGAGCTGGATATCCTTGCTTAATTCTATGTACACATCAATTTTGAGCTTGTTTGAATGACGTCGAACGGCATATCGCCTCTCAGAATAGGATGCTCTTTCTAAGATTATTTTTTAAAATTAATTTTTGAAATTTTCTAGAATGTGACTTTTCTGATGAACCTTTAACTTTTCAACGAGCTTCTGCAGGTCAAAGTTTTGCTGCTGGGTATGATAAAATTATGTGTTCTTCCCGTTGCTGGACGAGTTTTTATCGTCCGGTTTTGTCGTCCGACGGTC